GCCGCCACTCCCCTGTGTTCTGAGAATACACCGCCCGCCTCCGACCCGGCCGCCACCCCTCTGCTCCCGCGTCCTGCCGGAAAGGGGCTCGCTGCCCGCCGCGGACCCAGCCCTTCCCCGCCTCGGCCTCCTGCCCTGGAAGGGGCATTGTGGGACTCCTCCCCCTGCCTCCTTGGCCTCTTGTCTCCCTTTTCCAATAAACTGAGGGACCTGCTCTCTGTGCTGTGATGTCTTGCTTTCTGCAGCCCAACCCACCCGCCGACTGGGGACCCCGGGATGTGGCCTGTGGGCGAGGGTCATTCTGGCCTGTCCTCAGATGGTGCCATCGTCCCCTGCCAGGCGGTGCTGACTGTGCTCACAACACCTTCTGTGTCCAGTCTGGCCACGGATGGCACACGTGTCATCGGTCTGGGCGGGTGCTTGGAACGGTGTTCCTCCAGCTGGTTCTAAGGGGACGGAGGAGGCCGTGGGATCAGCTGGAAGGCTGTGTGTGCACAAGTGTGTGTATTTGGTTTTTACCCTTTTCCTGCACACACACCCCCAACTTTCCCTGGCGTGTCTCCACTCTGCCCCATCCCTACCCCATCACAACAGCAACACCAGAAGTGCCTGCCAGAAGCCACCCTTGGGGCTACCCTGTGTCAGTCCAGACCTCACCCCACTGCCACGTCTTCCCCATGCTGCCCACCAAACAGGGAAAGAGAAGGGCCTGGCCACCCTCACCCACCCCTCCCCCACCCACACACCTCCTCAGCACCAGGCAGCCTTCTCCAAAGCCGGTAGCTGGTGAGAGGGGGTCACTTGCCACGTCCTCCACTGCCCCACCCACGGCCCCCATCGCAAGTCCTCAGAGTCTCAACCCTCTTTGCCCAGCCCGGCCCAGCCCTGGCCTCTCCCACCGTCTCTCCACTCTGCCCTTAGAGGACCTGCCCTTTTCCTCCAGAATCTCCAAGTCCCAGGTTAGACTGCACCCAAGCTCGCAGGGCTCCCTCTCACCTTCTTTCCCTCCCACCTCCTGAACCCTGATCTTGGGCCTTGCCCCTCGTTTCCCAGGCCAGGCTCTCAGCCAGTGTGAGCCTCGCTGGAACATCTGGCTACCCAGGGCCCGCCTCTCCCCTCTCTGTACACACTCCCTCGGGAATCCCAGTCTCCTGCCCTCAGCTCCTGCCGGAGGTTAAAAGCCTCCATCTGGCTTCTCCTCCCGCCCTCCCTCGCGGGCTGCACCCACGAGCCCCAGGTCCCGGCGAGACACCTGCCCTTCCACACACCTCCCGCTTGACTCACTGTTCCCCATCCTCTCCGCCAGAGTCGCCCCCATCTCCCGCCAAGATCATCGACACAGTTGCCCAAGCCAGAACCTGCGACACATCCCTGTCTGCACCTGCTCCCTCGGTGCTCGCTGGGCCCCGAGTGCCTCCTTGTCTGCCCCCCAAATGCCTCCCCCATCCTCTCTCCCTATGGCTGTCCCCATGCCTCGTTGCCACACTCTTGCCTGGACTCCAGCTCCCGCCTCTTCCTGCCTCTCCTCACACAGCCAGCGAGACCTCCATAAAACACATGACTGGCCTTTCTGTGGGTTCCTGCTGCCCTCGGGGCCAAGCCCAGACTCTTAGACCCCACCAGTCCTGCATGCTCGGCTGTGACCGACCTCTCAGGGGCCCGCCTTTCTCCCCTCCTCGGGCTCCAGGTGCCCTGAACTCCTGTCAAAGGAGGGTTGAGTGTCCCCAAGGGGCCTTTCGGTCCCAACCCTTCTCCGGAGGGGACTCTGAGCTCTGCTCTGGAATGTAAACACTCCCTTCTCAGGTACTTCAGGAGGCTACTGAAAGGTCTGCCAGCCTTGGAAGGTCATAGAGGTGCCACCTAGGGGCGCCCAGGAGGGTCCATGCCTCTGGGGATGATGCATCTTCCTTCCACCTTCCCGTTTCAAGGGACCAGGCAAGACTGTTAGAGCCTCTGAGGCCCTGAGCCCCACATCCTCCACTATCACTGCTTCCTCCATCAGGAGGGGGCACTGCTGAGGGCCCTTGGGGGAGGAAAAAAAAAAGAGAGAGAAGCTCAGTGGTGGGTTATTAACCAGGCAAAGCTGGTTCCTTCTCGAAGGAAGCCATGTTGAAGCAGCGACCTCAAGGAAGACCAGGAGTTCATGTATTCAATCAACAAATCGTTAATGAGCCCCTACTGTGTGCCAGGAACTGTTACACATGCTTGGTTTCATAAAAGAAGAAAACAGCCAGCCACACATGCTTGTCCCTGTGACGCTCACATTGTACAACAAGCAGTGAGTCTAAGTGAGAAGCTAGCCAGGAGGGCAGATTGTCCCAGGCTTGGGGAAGGGTGTGTGAAGAGGTGGGCTGGAGGAGCACAGGGACATGCAAGAGCTAAAGGGGGACTGGAGGAAGGGGGAGTGCTGTGCTCCAGCACCGCCCAAATGCAGGAAAGGAACCCTTCATGTCACACTCTCCTCTGAGCCCAGCTCCTCCACCAGAAGCTTTCTCTACCCTACTTCCTTCCGGGTTTTCCAACATCATCCCATCATCATCTCGCAGAGGTAGGTGAGATGGGCTGGTTCCCACAGCCTTCCGCACTCCACAGAGAGCCAGCTGCCCCCTTCTGGAAGCTTCTGCTGGCTGCTGAGGAACACAGGCTAGCCAGACATCAGATCTCTTTGTACTGATGCACAGCTGAGAGACGGCCAGCATGACAGTGACAGTATTCAGTAGCGGGCATGTGGCGGTGGGCTTGGTATGGCCGGCGTCGCAGGAGTGAAAGTGTTCACTAAGACAGTCATGAATTAAGAAAGGTAGATTTATTAAAGGGAAGATATATTGTGAAGGACACAGCGGGCAGGACAGCAGAGTGTTTGGCTAGGTGGAAGTATTTATAAGACTATAGCAGGCCAGGTGCAGTGACTCATGCCTGTAATCCCAGCACTTTGGAAAGCCAAGGTGAGAGGATTGATTGAGCCCAGGGGTTCAAGATCAGGTTGGGCAACTTGTCAAGACCTCATCTCTACAGCAAATTTTTTTTTTTTAATTAGCTAGGCGTGGTGGCTCGTGCCTGTGGTTCCAGCTACTTGGGAAGCTGAGACAGAAGGATTGCCTGAGCCCAGCAGGTCGAGGCTGTGGTAGCTGTGAGCATGCCACTGCACTCCAACTCAGGAAGGAAGGAGGGTAGGAAGGGAGGGAGGGAGACAGACAGACTATAGGGGGATTCAGTGTGGGCTGGGAAATTGCCTGCAGGGCATGGAGAAGTTTGCAAATTGACTGCCTGCTGTTCCAGAGGTTTGGAGGGTTGATCAGTTGTGGGGTTTTGTCTTTTAAGACAGGGTTAATAGCAATCATTGACAATCTTTTTTTTTTTTTTTTTTTTTTTTTGAGTTGGAGTCTCACTCTGTCACCCAGACTGGAGTGCATTGGCCACTCCTGGCCACTGCAGCCTCGACTTGCTGGGCTCCAATGATCCTTCCGCCTCAGCCTTCCAAGTAGTTGGAACTACAGGCGCACGCTACCACGCCCAGCTAGTTTTTTATTTATTGTAGAGATGAGGTCTCACCAAGTTGCCCAGGCGGGTCTCAAACCCACGGGCTCAGGCAATTCAGTCACCTCAGCCTCCCAAGGCGCAGGATTACAGACTGAGCCACTGAGCCTGGCTGACAACCTTTTTTGTTTGCAAATGATTTACAGCTGCCTAACCAGTTTTTGTCGATTTCTTTGTAGATTTTTATCTTGAGGTCCCTTCCCTTGATATAATTTGTCCGAAATTGTCATTGGCCAAATGGGGTCCATATTTCTCCGTGGAGGTACCCAAATATCTGCTCTGCTCTGCACAGCAGCTGACACTCTGGTTCATCCGGTGGGCTGGTGTGCCACCACCATGTACCGTGCAGGTAAAGAAACTGAGTCTCCAGAAGGTGACGGGGCTTGACCACACACCCTTGGTGAAAAAGCCAGGACAAGAATCTGAGAACTCAGAGCTATAACTGCTGGTCTTTTTCTATGCCCACGCTGCCTCCTGCTATACAGAGGCTAAGAGTGCCACACTATTGTGATATCACAGCATAGTAATAATAACAACGACAATCACAAACACCCATTTTTTGGTATCTGTTATGTGCCACCCTCTACTTCAAACTTGTGTTTATAGTAGTTCACTTAATTCTCTGTGGTAGCAATCTTCAGAAATGCCTCACTCCAACAATTCTTGTCCCCCTATGAGCACCACGCCTCATAGGTGGAAGCTATGTCCCCTGCCCTTGAACCTGGGCTGGCCCTGCGACTGCTCTAATACAGTGTGAGGGCTTCTGGCCCAGGAGGCCCTGAGGGGATTGGCACACATGGAAGACAGAGCCCCTGGCTGACCGCCCTGGCTGAGCTCGACCAGTGGCCAGCTCCAAGTGCCAGCCACACAAGTGAAGCCATCCTGGACCTTCCAGCCACCCCAGAGCCCCAGCCAATGATAGGAAGCAGAAGGGTCACCCGGTCAAGTCACACAGTCAAGAAACATAAGCCACCACCCGTGGGGGTGTTTTGTTACATAGCAATAGATGTGTGGAAGGGCACCTGGCAGAGGGGTGCTGCTGTAACAAAACCCAGCACCTGTGACATTGCCCTTGGGACCAGGCATCAGGCAGAGCCTCCGTGTTCTCAGGGAGACCATTAGCGAAGGCTGGAGAGACAGAGAGGAGACCACCACCGGAAGCTAGAGAACCCACCTGGGGCAGGGCCTGCTCTCCCTTGCAGCTGCAGCTCTTGGGTTCTTTAGAGTTCTCACTTCTCACCAGCCAAGCCCTTGTTCTTCTATGATAGTTAATATTGCTTTATGTGTGTGAGGTATTGTCGGGACACAGACTGGTTTCCCCCATCCTAAAGCTGCCTTCTTTCTGCCCCCTTGCCCAGGGAGCCACTTCTGGCCACAGCCGGTCTCTGGAACATATGCAGATTCTCAGTAATGAGTCACAGGATGTAGCTCTGGGTTCTGAGGTTCTTGTCCTGGCTTTGTCACCAAGGGCATGTCGTCAAGCCCCGTCACCTTCTGGATGCTGAGAACAGTACGGGCTTTCCTCTTAATCAATGTAGTTGTAAACACCGTATAGCAATCTAAACAATGAACTTGCTTGATTATAAAACTGCCGTGCTGACCCGGGGCACAGATTTTTCTTCACCCACCAGCTGCCCTCAGTGCCTCCTGTAAGTTCTAATAAACCATTGTCTTTCCCCTACTGAACCTGCAGGTGACTTCTTTGAAGTAGATAAAGAACATTACACGCAAGCCCTCTCAGATGTGGGGTTACTGAGTTACAGCATTAAACTTGTTCTGTACAAGTTATTGTCTTCTGATTGGATCCTGGCTGATACACCCTGATCGACCACTCCAACTGGCAGCCAGCACCAAATCTTGGTTATTTTGAACCCTCTGCTACCCCAAAGAGCATCATATAAAGTAGAAGTTCCCAGTAAGCCCACAGAATCCCAAGAAATGGTAAAGCGTGATCATTTCTTATTTGGAGTGATTTGTTATTGAAAGGACAGACTGAGAGTGGGTAGCCATTTTTCTTTTTTTTCTTTTTGAGTTGGAGTCTCACTCTGTCGCCCAGACTGGAGTGCAGTGGCCGCTCCCGGCCACCGCAGCCTCGACCTGCTGGGCTCTGGCGATCCTTCCGCCTCACCCTTCCAAGTAGCGGGAATTACAGGCATGCGCTACCACGCCCGGCTGATTTTTTGATTTATTGTAGAGATGAGGTCTCGCTGCCCAGGCGGGTCTCGAACCCGCGGGCTCAGGCAATCCACTCACCTCAGCCTCCCAAAGGCGTGGGATTACAGGCTGAGCCACTGAGCCTGGCTTGGGAAGTCATTTTTCATCTTGTTCTTAAACCCTGACACAATGATGAGAAAATTAAAGCTGTGCTTTTGGAGAAATGCACACTTTAGGTATAATTAACTTTACCAATTTTGTCTTTTCAAAAACAGACTTCCAGGTATCTGAGATATCTCATAGTGGCAATCAAGCTTGTCTAGAGTAAAGGGAATTTACAAGGCCTAAGACATCATGCATTGGGCAAGGATTGTAAAAGTCATGAAACTTGTAATTACAAAAGTTATGACCACGCAGAGGGGGAGCAGGTGGGGATTCGATATTCCAATAAATTGGGCACTATCTACAGGGAAGCCAAGGATTCCCCAAAGCTACCTACTGGGAATGCCTAGGAGATAAGGGGAGGTACATCCTCCATTAGGTCTAAGGAATGTCATTTGGGAAGGTGCAGGAGAATTAGAACCCTTGTTACGCCCTTCTCTAGGGGCTGTGATAATGTGGGCGGACATTAATGGCTCTCTGTGTCACAGGATCTCCAAGACATCCACAGGTGGTCAACAAGGAAGTCACAACAGTCACGGCAGTCACGTGCAACATCTCCAAGAGAAGGATTTAAGCCAGGACTCTGGGGGGCTACGATGCCACACTCACCTAGAGTGTAGGCCCACTCCCTGTCTGTGGGGAGTGAACTTTTCTTAAATAAATCTTTTCTTCTCTCACCTCTGTGTGTCGCAATTCTTTGCAATCTATTCGGATCTCTGGGTTGCCGGTGCGCACCTCCGGCTTGCCAGCCCTGGCAGTGCTGTGCGCCTCCCTGCGTCTCTCTCTCGACCCTCACCCGGTCCGTCTGTACCCTAACAGTTATGTGAAGTAGGTATCTGAAACACCTCCCTCCAACCCAGCAGGTGTCGTTATTTATCGTGTTATTCCATTTAAAATATGAAGACGCTAAAGTTCAGGAAGGACTAGTGATTTGCCCATAATTACAGAACTGGTGGGTGGCTGATCCGGTGCTCATACACAGGTCTCCATCAACAAGGCGTTCAAACACAAGTCTCTATCAACAAAGCCTTTCACACATCATCTACTTAGGGAGCCAGAGGGAGCTTAGGCACACTGCCTAATCCGCCTCTCTCCCGCTGGACAGCAGGAAACAGAAGCAATTTGCCCCAAGTTATACATGTGGCAAATGGCCATCATGTGGCAAATGGCCATCAGGACAGAACCGAACAGAAGCCCAGTTCTCTGACTCTCTCAGCCCAAGGCTCTCTGCTTCCCCAGGCTGCCTCTCTCCCCAGTAACTCCCCTCCATTCTCACATGTTTCCCCAGGCACATTCCCCCTCCAGGAACTGGGGGGGGAGGGTAATTCTCAAGCCACACACATTTCCCCAGGCACTCTCCCCCCACCCAGGAATGCCCTGACTTACTGGTTGAGTCAAATCTAGAGACATCTTTAGTTGTCCCAATTAGGGGCAGGGGAGGGCCACTGGCATCTAGTGGATAGAGCCAGATAGGCTGCTACACATCCCACAGAATGCACAACCAAGGCCGGGCGCCATGACTCACACCTGCAATTCCAGCCCTTTGGGAGGCCCAGGTGAGAGGACTGCTTGAGCCCAGGAATTCGAGACCAGCTTAGCAACATAGTGAGACCTTGTCTCTACAAAAAATAAAATCGGTCAGTTGTGGTAGCACACACCTGTAGCCCCAGCTACTCCAGAGGTTGAGGCGGAAAATCACCTGAGCCCCAGAGGTTTGAGGCTGTGGCGAGTCGTGATTTTGTCACTGCACTCCAGCCTTGGCGACAGAGTGAGACCTTGACTCAAAAACAAAAGAAAAAACAAAAGAATGACCCAGCCACATCAATAGTTCTAAAGGTGAGAAATCCTGGCCTAGAAAGACCCACAAGCCCAGAAGTCTCCCAGGCTCCGTGAGTCTTGTCTTGTCGTCCCAAGGTCTGGGCTGCTTGAGGACAGATGGGCAGCACCTGGCACAGTCATTTGGCCTACTGAAAAACTAGGTGGAGGGACTCCACGGCAGGGAGGGCCTGGCACAGGCGGGCCCTGGCACTTTCAAGACTCTGAGGCACCAGGCTTGATTCGCTGCAATTAGTTTATTGGAAGCAAAGTGAAGCAAGGACAGACGTGCAGCCAGCTGAGTCCCCGGCTCTCTGGAAGCTTCTGCAAGTGGCCCTGGAAGGGAGATGCTCTCCTCCCACGGGTCACGTCCCTTCCAGAGTTACAGGAAAACCGCCATTAGTGCTCCCCATGCTGGGGCCGGCCCTGTTCGCCCAAGCTCGGGGCAGGGGTCAGGCGGGACCCGTGAATCCAGCAAAACACAGAAGGTAGGCCGAAGAAAAGGATGAATCCGCGGGACAACGAATGGGCTAGTAGAAAAGGCTACGGAGAGAGACCGAGGGGCCGCCCAGCCTCCGCGGAGGATGGCGCGCCAGAGGGAGGCGGCAGGGTGAGCGCGCGTGCGGGCGTATACAGCAGGCGCCCGGCTGGGGGAGGGCGGTTGCGCGAGGTCCCGGCGGGCGCAGCCCCCTAGCACCTCTTACAGCTGCCGCCGCAGACGCTGGCCGTGGCGCAGGGGGCGCAGGCGTTGGGGGTGCCCACCACCACGTTGCCGCTGCACGGGGCGCTGCACACCCGGGTGGAGACAGCAGGGGCAGTGCCAGAGGCGCAGAGATCGCCACAGACGACGCCACCGCGGGAGCTGCTGACGCCTGCCGGGCGAAGAGAAGGGGCGAGTCAGGCGCGGCCCCGGCAGGGGCTTTGCAGCGCGCGCCCTGTCCCCGCCCCGGAGGCCCGCCCGGCGGGAGGAGAGGCCCGGCTACTTACAGACATTCACGGAGCCGACGCCCTCACACAGCCTGCGGGGAGAGGAAGGGGAGCGGTCAGTGCCACGGAGAACGGGCCATGCGGCCCAGGTGGGGGTGAGACCCGTGGCCCTCCTCTGGGCACTTGCCAGGGGAGGGGGCAAGAAACGGGCTAAGTCGGGGGCCAGGGCGGCCCCCCGAGGGTCTGGAGAGAGAATGTCTTCCTGGGCCAAGCTCTCCAGGGCTGCTTAGCTGTGCGGCATCAGCTGGGACCACCCCCAGCCTAAGTTTCCTCATCAGGAAAATCAGTTGTGAAAACTGGATCAGGGGTGGGATTGGCAGTTGAGGGAAACTGCTAGGGGAGGGAGGGGCATACCTCATCAACAAGGGTACCTGCATAATCGTTGTTTGTATATCTAACCCTATTGTACCCCATATCTTTATAATTTAAAAATATATATATATATATAAAGAAAACTGGATCAAATAATGTAACCGAGTGCCGGCAGGCAACGCTTAAGGCCCATCCGCTGCCAGTATTTCAAGGTTGGTTCTGATGGGTTTGTAAATGCATTTGAGGGGAGCAGATATAGCTCCCTAAATCTGGTCTGGTTGGAGTTATCAAAACAGCCTGGTATTGGTACAAGAACAGGCACATAGAAAAAGGAAAAGGAAAAGGAAAAAATAGAATGTAGGCTTCCGGAGGGCAGAAATGATGCCAATTCTTCCTCTGCCCCCTCTGTAAACAATGCCTGGCTCCATAATTAACTGCTGGGTGAATGAAGAGGACTTCAGAACTTGTTTAGAACAGGCTCAGAGACTTTCTGCAATAACTCTCTCATCTGACAGGTGGAGAAACTGAGGCCCAGAGAGAGGAAGTTACCAATGACACAGGCAGGGCTGTGACTCAGGCCACCTAACCCTGCCCCGCTTTCTATATACATTCCTTTCTATATACATTGTCTTCCTTGGGGAAGCAAATGAATTCCTCTGGAAACACCGCAGCAAAGGGCAGGTGAGGTCAGCTTCGGGTGAGGGAAGACCCCACAGCCCACCAAGCAGGTCTCGCGAGCTAACCTACCCTGAAGCTCTGGACTCACTCCAGGAGCCTCATGTGGTGGAGGAGTGGGTCACAAAACCCAGGGCCATCTTCACCTGTCCCTCCAACTTCCAAATTCACACTCAGAAACCCCTCTGCCCGGAATTCTTGGCTTAGGAGATTCCTAAGACCTGTCAGACCCAGCACCTCTCTAAGCTTTTCAATGCAGTTACTTGAACTTCTTGGGAGTCCCACCACGTAGTCACTTTGACTTTCAGGTTCCAACCCGTGTTCTCCATCTCCGCAGGACCCAGGGTGATCCCTCTGCATCCTCTCCCCTCCCTCATCCACTCCCAGGTCCAGGGGCCTGGCTGTCCACAAGAAGAAGAGAAGCTCAGGGTGTGACCAACTGGTCACCCCGGGAAAGAAACCAAAGATGCAGAATGAGCCCACATCCCAGGAGTGTTGTCCTTATAGGAGCTAGAGCCGACAGCACACCTGCCCTCCACCACAGGAATGCTGGATGGCCAGTGGGCATTCTCCCCTCCCACCTCCTAACAAGCAAGCCAGCCAAAATTCTGAAGGGACACGGCCCTGCTCTCTGTCTCAGTTCCACCTGCCATAATGGAAAATGACTCTGGAACAGTCCTTGTCACTGCCAGAGATAAGCAAGAATTGATGGAATCTGCTCCCTGAAGTTGTCATTATGGAATAAATCTGAACTACAAAAGCTGGGGCTGGGCCAGGGCAAAGATAGGGAAGAGAGCTGGAGCCCAGAGGGGTGCTGAGGTGGAGAGAGGAGGCGCTGTCCAGGGAAGGGGACCCCAAGCCTCGGCAAGGCTTCTGAGGAACACAGATTTCTGCTGCCAGATTCCTGACTCTAAAGATAGATTTACCAAAGACTCCAATCCCAGATCAGAGCCCAGGCGGGTGGGCGAGACTCACATGGGACTAGATCGTATATAAAGAACTTACACCAATTACCTGTCCAGTGCAGGATGGGGAGTTTAGAACCGGATGTCAAGTGGTGCCAGGAGAGTGAGAACCAGGACACCGGGAACCCAGGCAGGACGGGGGGAGTCAAAGGGTTATAGGACCCACCTCTGCTCCTCGCCCTCCAGCAGGCGCCTGTAGGTGGCGATCTCGATATCCAGGCCCAGCTTGGAGTTCATCACCTCCTGGTACTCCTTGAGCAGGCAGGCCATGTCCTGCTTGGCCTTCTGCAGGGCGGCCTCCAGCTCCGCCAACTTGCAGCGGGCATCAGTGAGGGCTGCCTCGCCCTGCTGTTCGGACTGGGTCACCGCGGCCTCCAGCTTGGTGTTCTGGGGGCCCAGAGGGGAGCAAGGTGGG